TGGCATTATTGCTCCTTTGGCTAAAGGCACCAGTGGAAGTCCAAGGGAATATTCCAACAGTGCCTGGTGTAAGCACGAGCTGCTAAACAGACCAGCTAGCGGAGCAAGAATGGAGGTATGCCAATGTGTTTCTAGATACTTGATACAGACAGTTGTCCTTCCTCCTCTCTCCTCAGTCACTGCAGTATCTCACGTTGCAGCAGCAGTGAGTCTATTAGAGCACAAACAAGCCTGTCTTCTCCCTTGCCTTGAGTGGGAGGTTTGCTCCTTAAGTTCAGCTAAGTTCAACTGGAAATAAGAGACATCTGCCTTTCCCATTCTGCTCCTGAAGAGATCAGAGGACAGAGCTGTAGCGCAGACCGGTGTGACAGATTGCTTCTGCCGTAGCAGTGCTGAGGGAAGGCTGCTCTGCGATGGGCTTTGGTGAGTCAGTGCTTCTGTTTATTTGCAGACAGCAGGTCCTGGTTTGCCTGCCACCGCGGTCCCGTCTGCCGCTGCAGCCAAACAGGAGCAGGCAGGGCCTGGCCCGCTGCCAGGGGTTTCGCTCCTGTGTGCGTTAGCAGAGGTAAGTGGTGAAACGCTCTGGAGGCTGGTCTTGAAGCAGCACGTTCTGCTGCTGTAGCGCGGCTACAGTGGCTCTGGGACTTCCTCCCAGCAAAGGTTTGCCCACTTGCCGCATTGCCCAGAGTGACTTGCAAGACTCTGTTTCCACCTCCGCAGTGATCGGCCGGTCTGCGTCTCTCCCGTAGCAGTGGTGCATTACTCTGCAGTCGCTCTGCAGAGGTCTGCAGCAGCACGCTTTTGTTCTATGAGGGATGTCCTGAGGTTTTCTGAAGTTCATTAACAATTTTGTAGTGTTAGTGTCATTCTAGTGACTTTGGGTCAGAGCAGCTGCCTGCCTTGCTCTCTTTTTGGTTGATTGTTCCAGGTTCCTGGGAGTAGCATGAAAATAGCAGGTCCTTATTCTGCGGAAGGGAAGTAGACTTACTTAGTTTTACAGTAATTGGCTCTGCTCTCATTAAAAAACTGAATTTGGGTACCTTTTTGTAAGGCTACTTGAGCCATGGTGAAGTAAGTGTCCAGCTGCAGGGGAGGAATGGCAAAAGGTGGACTTGGTGTCCACTGCCAGTGGATTCGGCTCTGTAAATGAGGCAGGTGGGTGTTCTTTTGTTCCTAGGAAATCCAGAAACTTCCCCAGGACTTCTGGCTGCATCTGCCCTGTGTTACGGAGCAGCCCCTGGGGTAATGTGGTGCTCTGACGCTCTAACTGATGTAGCAGTATCTTTTGTGGAAGGTGTGGCTCTGAGAGGCAGCACTTAGATGGATCTCTTGGCGCGACTATTAACGGTGCCTCTGCTTACAACTGCTGTATGATCTGCTTTGCTTAGGCACTAGCTGATGATGGATTTTGTAGCTGTTAAAGATAATTGCAGGCTTAGGAGGGCTGAGTGGTGACTACCAGATGGGGGTGGAATATGTGCAAGCAAAATGTGCAATGGAGATTAGCATTATAGTGGTGGGATCTATGAGAAACAAAAAGGAACCTACCTTCTCCTTGCTGGCCCAGATCCTCAAGGGGATGAGTTGCGTCTCTTGGTTTACATCTAGACTGAGGCCTTTCTGAAGGGGCGAAAGGATTTGGCTGGAAATGTCTTGGAGGTGCCGAACTGCTTCGGACTGATCTAGACACTAACAAGCTGGCTGGCCCTGCAGTAGCACTGGAGGCAGAAGCTGTGTTGCGGAGTGAGCAAGTGAGCGAAGTGGATTCCACTAATGCCTGAGTGCTGATGCTGGACTCTGAGAGCCTCCCTGTAGCTCTTGAATGAAAACATGCCTTTAGTGACACGGTTAAAAAAGGCAAAGGCCTGACAGCAGTTGTTTCCATGACAACAGAAAGAGTTGCCTGCAATATTTCAGCTCCTCAGCCTGGAGAACAGTCTGATTGATAGTTACATACGCGTGGTAGAGAGATAGCAGAAGGGGGGAGGCTGATTATATTGCATTTTCCTTGTCCTTGAATGCCTGTGGCCACAGCAACTGTGGAGGGCAGTTTTTCCTTGCTTTTTGTCATTTTTTTCCAAGTGACAATGACCTGCGTGTCCCTTGGAAGCACCTGTACAACCTGCCAGCTGTGGATACGTGACCCTCACCATCACAGGCTCTCTGGTTCAAAGCCTATCTGTGTGTGCAGAGAATATGGACATTTGGTTCCTTGATTGGTGATTAGCAAATAGTTATTTACAACATAAAAAGTATCTTGGAGGGAGAAGAAATGAGTTTGAGCGCATGCTTCCAGCATAAGCGATCTGCACTCGGGACGTTCCTCTCTTCTCAGACTGTCTGATGAACGTCTCAAAGGCAAGATGCACGTGACTTCAGGAGAGCAATGGAACGACTCAGGCTTCAGGAAACCCGTGGTGGGTTCAGTGCCTCTTCCCCCCGAGCGCTCCTGGGCTCGCCAGCTCTGAGCCACCTCTGGGACGTTCACACGATGAAGGGGTGGGTGGCCAGATTCTGCCCTGGCTGTGCTTTGCTCAGAGCCGAGTAGGAAGGGGAGCGTGTAATGGAGGAGCTGCCAGAAAAGAGGGACAGGTAAAGGTGCTGTGGGAGAGCATAAGCCAAACCCAAGGGTCTGCGTAAAGCATTCCCAGATCAACAGTTTTGCCGAGGTCTGGGGACAACATGGCTCTCAGGTGGAGCAGAAGGCCCTGCCAGTACAGGGTGGTGGGCTGCTGCTGGGGGGGAGCGTAGTGTCGCCTGGGGAAGCCAAGGCTGGTGCCAGTGCTGGTGCTCTGCGTGGTGGTGTACCCGTCTCCCCACAGTGTTTGTGCTCCGGGTTTTGTCCAAAGTAACTTTTTTTCAAAGCAGCTCACTTAAGTTGATTATCATTGCACAGTTGCCAGCAGGGTTTCCCTTTCTCCTTGGGTAGTGATTAAAAATTGAGTCACTAAGTGTGATCTCTGGCAAAATGTTGTTCCCTCTGCCTCCAGACCTTACCCATTGCAGACCACAGCTCGTCATCCACTTTGGGCAAGGCTGCTCAGAGTCCAAGAGGCCCTTGGCTCTGCCCGGGACATAGGCCACTTCTTCGGGGCCGTCAGACAGAGCTGTAATGCAGACTGCAGCCCCCCCAGGGAGCAGCAGCCACAAGCTGTACCTTAAACCTGGATGGCAGTGTACCCCAGGCTTAGGATAATTGCAAGCTTAGGATGATTATTGGAGCGTGCTTTCTAGGGTGTTTGCCAAGTCTTGCTGGCTCTTGTGAAGAGCTGATGGCGAGCTCTTCCGGAGAAGCTTGGGAGCCAGTGTGGTCTGCGGAGCATGTCCCCGTAGCATTCACTTATTTCCCCAAATAGGACTGGGGGTCATCTTCACAGAGCTTTGGAACATGCTCTTTGAACACACCATAAAGCATGTGAAGTACAAAGCAAGCTGAGTGTTGCAGCGAATGCGCTGCAACCCCAGAGGAGAATGCCTGCCCTGGGAAAGGGCCTCGCTGCTGGCAGGAGCCCCTAAGTGCCCGAGGAGCACGCTTGTGCCTGGCCGGGAACGGTCCCGACTCCTGGTGACCCTGCCTGACTCTAGAGGAAACAGTGAAGCCCCCTCTGCCTTCGTGGGGCCAGGAGTTCAGCCTTAATTCCAGTTGATCGCACTTTGTGGAGGCAGCGATACTAGTTCTTCATGTTGGGCTTGATCCATTGCCAAAGAGAGTTTAAACGCAACTTCAGTCAGTACTCACTGGTAGGACTGTAGCATTTTGGGTTAATAGCCCTTGGGAAATGTATTTTGGGGAAAATATTTGAGAATGAAGACTGAATGTTCCCTTAAAAATAGATCCCCAGAGACAACAGATGCCAGATTGCTGCTCATGAGGGAGGCTGTTCTCCCTGGCTCCTGTTGTAGTTTCTTGATGATGCTTTTGCTTTGGAATATGAGTGGAAACATTCAAAATAGAAACATTGTGATGTGATAAAATGGAACAAACCTACAAGAATCTGTGATGCTCTGTCATCTCTCCCTGGGATATGTAAATGATGCCTTTTAAAGCAGTTTGAGTATGTACGCAGCCCTCCTTGCATTAATGCTCTTGTTGCAGGCTGTGGTCCTTCTATTTGCAGTTCTGTTTGCCCTCACCTGCAACTCTGTAACTGCCCCGGTGCTGCTGGGGTGACACTTACCCTTGTACCCAACTGCTCGTACCCTGCAAACGCCGACACTGCTGGGCAGTACCGTGATGTCTGTTGTGTCCGGTTTCTCAGGGGACGTGGCTGCCACTGATGTGTGAGTCACCTTGCCTCCCCCCTCCCTTTTCAGCCCTCATTTCCTAGCTTTTAGTCTGTAACATCCTACTAGGGGAAAAAATGGACCTTAGGAGAGATACCATTAGTAGATAACAGTCATTGGCACAGTAATCATTCCCCGTAATAGCCACGCACAATCTGTGCCCGATCACAGCATGCTGCAATCGGCACTGTGTCGGGACCCTGTAAGGAGGCTGAGCAGGGCCGGAGGAGACTACCGGGAGATGATGAGAAAGGACCGGGGGGAGCTGCTGCTGCCTGGGGAAGAGCCCAGGAGCGGCTGCTCGTCCGCAGAGACCCATTACTTCTCTTCCCAGCTGGCTGTGGGGGAGTTTGCCCATCCCTTTTCTTTCTCTGTTTTTCTGCCTCTCCTTTTTCTTTTTTCTTTTCTTCTCCCAAAGGTAACTTAGTACTGTTAGTCTGTCTGCCACCAGCTACGGACCCCAACAATAAGTCACTGTGGATGTAAGGGTATCTCTGTCCTTTGTGCAACAATACGATTTTTTTTTTTTTCCCCAAAACTAAGGTGCACACCGTCGCTTCAAGAAAAGAGGAAAGATGGCTAAAAAAAATCCCCTGAACAGGCTGCGGACCAGCTGCTCCAGCCCCAAGGACAGGAGCAGGGATGAATTTCTGTGTATATGAACTTGACATCTTGTTGTGTGTTGTTTCTGTAACCTTCTCACTCTCCTTTATCAGACAAGTTCAGAGTCTCTGTTGGATCCTCAGCAAATCCAAGCTTTTGACCAACTCTGCCGACTCAACCGAGGAACCTCCAGAGTATGTACCACCTGTTTTCCTTCCGCTTTTAAATTGGTGAAGGGTATTCTGCATGTTGTCAAGCCAGATATTAGCACTGGCAGTGTGGGCTTTGGCTTTTCTCTTGGGTTTCGTTTAGTGCTGGCAATTTACTGTGCTTAGAGCTGGCTGTTTCACATCACAAGGCAGCCGCGCTGCCTGACAGAGCTGGGGAATTCACTGGCAGTGAAACCATGGAAATGCCTCTGGCTTTGGGACCTGAAAAGTGTCCATGGTGTGAGGTTTCTTGGATTCTTTTTAGATTTGCAAATAACCTCCCCTCCAGACACCGTGTGGCTCCTGTGATGGCACCGAAGGCTCCCGCCTCCTGCAGCCCGTGTTGTCCCAAGGAGAGCGCAGCTCCCTCTGTCCCTTGCATTCTCCCTGTGCCTCCTGCCTGTTTTGGCTGCAGTTGTTGGCACTTTCAGCTCCTTCTGGGATTTTCGATTATGTAACTTTAAAACAACCTAAAGACACCTGGAAAGTTGTTTACGTCAGGACTGTGGTCCTGCACTGAGCTCTACAGGGTCACTACATACTATTTATACCCTTTTCTTTACGTGTGTTAAGGTTTTTCTAATTGCTGCAGGAAAAAGGTGAGCCCCCACGAGCACTTTGTCTTTCTGCAGCTTGCACGAGTGCTTCCAGGCAGTCTGCCCAGGCCACCGGACAGTGACCTGTCTGGGTTTTGTCTTGCAGCTAGCTCTCCTGACAGAACTGTCTCGCGGCCACAGCGGTGAAAAGCATGGGCTGCTCAGCATTTCCCACGGTGACCCGGCCACCAGCAGTGTCTTCCAGAACGAGAACTTCCAGCTCCATCTGGCCCCCCCTCCGCTGGCTGAAGACTAGCACTCCTGCCTCCAGCCCCGGCAAGGCCACGGCTGGTTTCAGGTCTTGCTGCTGGGAAGCCTTTCCATCACGAGACCGGACTTTCCCCCCCTTCCGCCGCCTTTCCCAGAACCCGCTGTGCTGTGTCGAGTCTTGCTGGGCGCTGGTGGGTTTGTAGCAGCGGGTGATCTCCCAGCTCTGCTGCCGCCTCTCACTAAACCGAGGCAGCCATGGGGCAGCTGGGCTGGAAGCTGTGAACTCGGGGGGCAAAACCAAGCGTGCCGAAGCACCGAGCACCACTGGGCTACCTGCGCTGACCTGAAGGCTCGTGGCAGCGGCAGTAACTTTGCCAAATAACCGAGTCAGCTCCACTCCAGTGGAGGAGTGAGTGCGCCCAGAGCCTGTGTTACATGGTGCTGTGTTGTTTTGTGGATGGGTACCATACCCGAGTTTTAATTGTAGTACTAGTAAAAGCAGTCATTTTGCTAAGGCCTGGCCCACTGTCTCATGGCAGCAGCCGTGGGGTCTGAGGGCACAGAACAGGCAAACCTGGAAAAGGCTGAAGAATGCGGAAAACGATACATGTGTGAGCAAACTAACCTGCGCACGGTGCGTTCCTACAAACTTCCATTAAAAAGGCCCTTGGTTGAACTTTCCTGCATGAACTGTGCACACAGGGAGTGGGTAAGAGGGCGGCTGGTCTGGCAGTGCTGCTGGGTGCTGTTTTCTTAGTACAGTTGCGACTGAACTCTGGTAGAGAAAGATGCATCTTGTCACTGCAGGTGAAGCACAAACCTCCCCTCTTGTACCTGTGTTGGGGGGG